TTTTACATTTGTACGTTTCTTTAAAATAAAAAAATTGTAATAAAATACAGCAAATACAGAAATTAATTTTAACATAAAAAAAAATTAAAACTTTTTCATACTGCAAATATGTATGTGTATGTATATATATAAAACAAAGTATCTTTGCTTTTGAAGAATCCTTCAACCGCGTTTATTTTTTCTACGCTCATAAAGTATCCGAGTCAGCGTAATTTCTGCTTACGATATTTTTAACGCATATATTTCTAGCGGAAAAGTTTCGCCTTTTCATTTATATATCATCTTCGAACTGTTAATGAGGTTCACAGTGTCAATGATTTATGGAAAGTCATTAGAAACGTGATGAGCACATCTCGTTATTAAAAGAGTCCTTCAAATGTATATCCGCGGTGCCTTTGACGCATCCTAGACACGAACATTGTGTCACACTTTTTCCACGGAGTCTCCGATAAAACCGGTTTTCCCTTCGAAAAACGCGCGACGTGAATATATACGTGGATCTTGAAGGGACAACTGATAAGAAGAGTACGAAAACTTGGAAAACCTGGATCTAGATGAACCGGTCAAATATTCGGTCCGTGGGCGAACACTAAAGTTTTTATTCCTGGAGCCCCTCTCTCTCTCTCCCTCCCTCCGCGGTGAAACCGGTTCCCATCTTTTTTACCCCCACGCTCACCTATCTCTCCCTCTCCCACGCGAGTGTAAGAAAAAAGTAAACGTAACAGTTTGCACTGTGATAACAGTAGGCAGCGTCAGTATTCAAGATGTCAATTAATGCAGATGAAGAGAATGACATGACATTCGCCGTTCAATTATTTTGTCGCTATAAGGAGAGATCGGCTCTAAATACGTCCAAGAACTACCGGCTCTTCGGGGAAAGAACTTTCTCGTCTTCTGCACGCGTTGCGGGAATCAGAGCTTGCAAACTCGCGACGCTCTCGAGTACGAAGGTCGTTTCGTCGACCCACTGATTCGTCCCACTTGTTCCCTCTCGTGGCTTACAATGCCTGAGCTTTTTGCGATCGCGAGGTGCTTTTAGCTGCGAGAATTTTCAAAAGATGTGCCTCCAAAGTATAACCTCCCCACCCCCTTGGAACGCGTTATTCTGAACAACCTTACTTTCCCTTTTATCAAAGATCGTAATCGCGCTTTTAAGTTTTACATATTTCCATATTTTTTAAAATAAAGAAAAAAACTGATCATTGCCGTAAGTAAAAGTAATAATAGGTGACTATATATCCTTGCTATCTCATTTATAGTAAGTAAAGATTATGTGAGAAAATATCAGACAAGATGAGATCTTGCATTCGAAATTTTTAAGTAAATTTATATTGTACAATAGTAAAATAAAGTTGTAACAATGGAAAACCGCAACGATAGTCCTTTGTTTAATAAAAAAATCTAAAATCTAATAGGAATTTTTTATTATTATTATAGAAGAAGAAGAGAGAAAGCATAGATATAAATAAAAAAAATTGTTTAAAGAATCCACCTGTTACGTTACAAAAAAGATAGATCGACCGAGTTGACATTTTAAATGACGTTGATAACATTTTAAACGCACTCTGGATTGAGTAACGAGTTTATCGTGGAAGGTCAAAGATTTAATTTAGCCAATCGACAACATATTGATATTTACCCCCTGATGCTGTCAGTGTTATCTTCGTGATTGCATGTATCATGTGTGTCAAATATGAATGTATGCATTTATGTGTATGTGTGCACGCGCGTGTGTGTAGACAAAAAAAGATTACTTATTTAATATCGCTCGCGCAATAACTGCACAAAGACTGCAAAATAACTGTCTGTAAATAGTTTGTGATCAAAATAGACTGTTGAGGTTGGATTAAATTTGGAATTTTTGCATGAAAAATAGATTAGCGATTGTTAGATTAATAAGCAAAATAAATGTTGCAAGATTTTCAAGGCACATCGATATATCACGGATTCATAAATCTTTTACAAACATGTAGATAACATTTTTATATTTTATATTTTTATTTTATTATCTCAGAGCTTTTATCTTTTCAAAAACAGTTCCTTTCTTTTGTTTCTTTATAATCGATTAAACAAAATAAATTGACAAAAATACTAGCACTTGAAATATATGAGATATATATTTATTCTATTATAAATATTAATTTTTTCAAGTCTCTCTCTTCAGATAAACTAAATATACGGTGAAATATATATTAAGATATAATAAATATATCATTAAGATATAATAAATTTTTTAATACGTGTTTCAACTATGTCATTAAAGTAAATTAAGGCCGACTAAAAATTTAAATTAATTATTTAATAAAATAAAAAACTCGATTTAAAAATTTCAACATAGAAAAGTGCATTAGATTGAGCGATACTAGCCCTAATCAAATTGTCATAATAGGTGGAAAATAACAAACTTAATTATTTAAAATATGTCGAGCCATCATTGCTGCTTATTTATTGCATATATGGCAAATTAAAATCCGCGAGTGTGAATTTTAAGAGATTACGAAAATCTTGAACCAAAAATCTTCGGAGTTAAAAACAAAAGACCCCTTTATACGAAGTTGTATTTACCGTTTTACCTCTTTGATAGTGGGTCAAATCCGACCGACAAGATCGACATACTTGATATCCAAAGGATTCCCCTAATTCTCATCGATATTTAAATCGTTTATAACATGTCAATTAAGTTTTTCAAAATTTAATTCGAAACAAACTCGAGGCTTCATAAAAACTTTTCAATTAAAAGCAAAGATGTATTTTCTTAAACTTTCAAATTCATTAATATATCTATTCGTATATAATCTCTTCCACAAGCATTTATGTGATAATAAATATCGTTATTGTAAAATGTGTGTTTAGTAAAAAAGATTAAAGAGGTATGAAATCGCATAAACATAAACATTCTTACAAAGAAATGCTCGAGAAGCGAAAAAAGTATAAACAAACGATTTTAAAACAAGCGAGAAAAATATAAACGAACGATAATAATATGGACAAACATTTGATTATTAATATAATCAACGGTCGAAAAACATCATAAATCATCCGCGAAAAATTACGAGATATCCCTCCGCTATCTTTACGCACTTTTTGCCTTGCACGTAGTCGCGGGTATTTTCAAGATAAATTTGAAAATGATCGATAGATTGCTTTCCCCTATCGGCGAAAGCGGATCTCTCGCAGCGGCAAAAAGGAATTGAAAAAAAAAGGCTCACCCGATCTGATGGCTGCAACATCGGCGACGCCGAAGAGGACGGCGAGCGTGGTCGCGACGACGAGCGTAGTCCTGGCGGTCCATCGTACGGAGGATAAAGTCCCGATCGAATCCTCGACACTTCCGGAAGCGCGTTCACCACCGGAAGAATCGACGCGCCGAGGCCGCACAGCCATCGCACGCCGGTTGTCCCTCTCTCTTTCTCGCTCGATGCTCCTCCTCGCTCTCTTTCACCGCGTTCTCTGTCAGAGGTAGACGACAAGAGTCACAGGCACACGCACACACTTTTGCACGCGTTTATGTACGATTGGCGCGCGCGGAAACTCTTCCCGATCTTCACTTCCGTTCAGACGTTCAGAATTCCGAACTCGTTCCGCGAGCGACAGACGGATACGAGGAATAAATTAAAAAAAAAAGATAAAAAACGAAAAGGACGCGCGACACGAGCAAACGCGGGTTCAATTCATGGCTCGTGCGTAACGACGTTGACACGGTCGCAGTCATCGGGCGACTGATGCGTGCCGCTCGCGGACCCAACATGGCGCCATTGCGCCCCTCCCTAATCAAGCCGAGGAGATGGAGAGGGCCCGTCGCCGAGCAGTTTGGTACAGAAGAACGCGCGAGACTCGCTCCGATTTCAAATTTGCGGCTTTTGTCGGCAATCATCGGGAGATGGAGATGAAGGGAATCTGGAATCATCAAAAAATATGTTTGCACTGTGATAACAGTAGGCAGCGTCAGTATTCAAGATGATAGAAAAAGAAAAGAAGACGGAACCGGCCAAGCTTGATCTTTCATTCCGTTAAATGGTAATTTCAATCTTTCGAACAAGACAATATTTGGCCGACTCTTCTCGTGACAAACATAAATGCAAATATTGGTTTTCGATATTTATATCCTACCGACTTGAAATATATGAGATATATAACGATCTTTAATATTTCACAATATGCGTTATAATATATACAAATTTATAAGCACAATATAATTGTAATAAAATAATTAGAAGAAGGATTCTCTTTCTAATTATAAATATAAATATAATTGTAAGGTAATGATTTATAAAGAAATAAAAAGAGAATATCGTAGCGAATTAATCTCTGTCTTGAAAATTAATCAAACTAGAAAACTGCGAACGGTCGCGAGTTCAAGCGTGCGAAACGAAAGTCGAGAGGGTCTTTTTATTGGGCCCAGTCCCCTAATTCGAGCGGCGCGTTTTACGCGATTATGCGACAAAGAAAAGAACAATTTCCGTGGAAAGAAACTTTCACACGAGAACGCTAAGTGTACCGTTTCTTCATTTCCCAACAGTTGAAAAATCTTTAAATATTATCGAATTCTCGGAGTATTTTTTTCGTCGTAATAAATCATATATATCATTAATGCCTACATTTCCTGACAATTTTCAACGAATAGCAATTATTTCTGGCTTGCGTTACAACACTTGTGGTTTCTCGAATTCTCTCCGAGAGCTTTACGTCGAATCGTTTCACACATACATATCAGGTAGGTGAATTTGGAAAATTCCGCGATGTAACTGAAAATTGCCGCTCTT